ATTCTTTTCCAAGGTTTTAAACTTGCACAGCCACAGAGACTGCAATTATATAGCTGTGTATATATATACACATATATACTGTGTATATATATTTATGGACGTTCCATGCATATATATTTATGGACGTTCCATGCAGAGGAATAAAAGTCATACACATACGATTCAACATCGATGTTTAATTATTAAACACAAGAGACAACAGCACTGGTTCACTTCACTGATACAGTACACCTCCCATTAACTGTGACTTTCTTCAGTTTGATTTTTCCAGCCTCAAAACCCAGGAAACATCTATGTAGAACTGAATATTCAAGTGTTGGTTCACATAGGCTTTTGTGTGTTTTTATTCTTCTTTTGGGTGTGAGTTTTCGTTAAAAACACTTTAGCAGAACGTTAGAGACTTTGCAGCGTACCAATCTAAGTACACGGACTTCTTCTCTGCTGCTGCAGACTGCAGAAGGAAGCGGAAATGAGTTTGTTGAGTTTAACGTCTCAACGTTGCCATCTAGCGGTGGAAGTCTTTACCACCTTTAAAAAAAAAAGAAAAAAAAAGAATGCGCATGCGCACGGTTCCTTTGCGTTATTTATTTCCACAAATATCTAATTTTTTTATTTTTTTATCTTAAGTCAACTTGCACTTACCAATGATCAAATCAAGATATTTGCAGAGATTAATTTGATACAATTTACTGCGACCTGTGTGTGCCTCGCTTCTTTATACATATACATGAATATATATACTAATGCATGTGCAAATGTGTATTTTCAAGTTTCTAATAGTTCAGTGTTTCTATATTTTTTTTCCCCTTGTTGAAAATCCAGTATAAACTTTCACTAAGTGGTTAATGTTTAAATGCAATAAAAACTGGTCGAACATTATACCTTGTGTGAGTTATTTATATTTATCTTTTTCTTTTCTTTTCTTCTTTTTAAAAAAAAAAAGTTAATCAAACAAACAATAGAGGTTTTACCTCTTTGTTTATTAAATGTGTTGCAAAAAGTGGGGTCAATTTGCAGCTCCTCTTTCTGACTATTTTGGGAAACATGCCCCAACAGCAAAGATCCCCTTATCTTTCAGATAGTGCGGTGAGTTTAAGTTAAATATTACACACATTGTAATTCCATCCAACCAGAGTAAACCGCTTTTTGTTGACGAAATCCAGTGTCTGTCACCCAAGTATATTCTCACTGGATTGAGAGCCAGCTGACAGAGACTGGGTGAAACTTGAGAATAATGTCAGTTCTGATTTCTTCTTCGCTGCCCAGGTCCTGCTCTCACAGTCTGAGATTTTTTAATCAAGTTAAACACAGCCAGACATGGAAATCATGCGGCAGAGTTTTGCTCCAGAAATGTCGGTAAGTTTACATTTCACACATCTCTCAAATTATTGGATTGTTTTCTTTAACGTAGCCAGAACCAGCAGTTGTTGTACCATGGAACCTTTGAGAGAGTTCTAGCTATCTGATATTTTGTATGTTTTTAGAAATACAACCTTCATGATATATACAAAAAACTGAAAAACTGAAACTTTATATTGATTTAAAAATGGAGTTGTTGTTATTGGATGCATGAAGAACCAGAATGAATCATCATTGATACAAAGTCAAACTTCAAATCCTACACTTCAGCTTGTGTTAATCGTATCATGCTTTGGTTTTTCTTTGTCATTATTAAACCAAATGTACTACTTCTGGCATATGTTTTTAGCTGTATTCTCACAAAACATTAAACTTTTCAGAAGTTTTGTGTGTTATTAAACCGTAACTGTAAATATATAAATCAATGAGTGTGCTTAGAACCCAGGTCATTTGCTGTGTCTTATTCCTGACCATTGTTATCACTGTCAGGTTTCTTCATGTGGACAGTCTTCCCCAGAAACCCTCCCTGACCACCAGCTATGTTCACGGCACCTCTTCCACCCCACTGCTCCCGCTGACCGTTGGCCAAAGCCTTGATGCCATGGTTGAACGCTACCCTGACCGTGAAGCAGTGGTCTTTGTGCAGGACGGCATACGGAAAACGTTTGCAGAGTTTCAGATAGATGTATGTCTCTTGTTTATTTCCATCAGTTTTTTGCATTGAAGAGGCGCCTGGCATATTCTGAGAAACAGCGATTCTGTCCATCAGGTTTTTTGTGATTATAAAGGCTGCTAACAGTTAATTTTCTATGTTTGATTGTTTTTCTTTTTTTCCTTTTTGTTTAGGTTGACAAGGCAGCTACAGGTTTGCTTGCTCTGGGCCTAAAGAGAGGGGATCGACTTGGAGTTTGGGGACCAAATATTTACGAATGGATCCTTTTCCAGTTTGCTTCAGCCAAGGCTGGAATTATACTGGTCAGTGCTGGATATATCTAAATACCTTCAAACGCACACTGTGAGGGCATAGCTCTGTTACCTAAAACTCTGTAGTCAACTGAAAATGAGAAGGACTTTGAACTTTACAGGTTCCCCTTGTGTGTAACATGCACTGTATACTTCACCAATATGCCAAAAGATATTTAATGGAATCAGCCCAATTCACCACCTAATACTCTCCAACGTGTGTGACATTGCACATGCCATACATTTACTGTTAAACTGCCATTTGTCCAACAGGTGTCATTGAACCCGGCCTATCAGGTGGAGGAGTTGGAGTTCACACTGCGGAAGGTAGTGGGTCACCTTATCCTCCTTACATTATCCCTCATGTTGCACATGTGAAACACAGAAATCAAAATGGGATTTTAAAAACGATGTTCTAATGCTAAGGTAAGAGATTTGTTGTGTCCAGGTTCAGTGTAAAGCGGTGGTGTGTCCCACCCATTTCAAAGACCAAAACTTCTGTGAGATGTTGAGGGAGATTTGTCCAGGAATTGAAAAAATGCCCACGGGCATGATCAAGAGCCCAAGGTTTGTTTTTTTGTCCTTTTTTTGTGATACTTGTAATTTTACATTTGATTCAGTTGTGATCTGTCCTCTACCTGCCAGGGTCCCAGACCTGCATATGATAATTGTGACCGACAGCAGACAGCCGGGGATGCTTCATGTAGAAGATGTGATGCAGGCCGGAGGGAATCAGCATTACAAAGAGCTGATGGACCTGCAGAGCAAGCTGTCCTTTGATGATCCCATCAACATTCAGTTCACATCGGTAAACTACAGTACCGCGCAGATTTAATGAATAAGTAGGCTTTTTTGGCCATTTTTGATGCATCAGTGATTCAGTTATGTCCTTTGTTAAGTTTAGGGTACAACTGGGAAACCAAAAGGAGCAACTCTTTCCCACCACAACATTGTAAACAATGCGTATTTCCTGGGTCTGCGCATGGGTTATGGATTGAGAGTAAGTGCAAATGTGGTTCTAGATTAGGAGAAAGGGCAAACTGTTACACGTAGGGGACGTTCTGTTCTTTGAACTTCCTCTGCCCTGTTGCTCACCAGCCCCAGGTACGACTGTGTCTGCCTGTGCCGCTCTACCACTGCTTTGGCTCAGTTCTCGGAGGGTGCTGCATGGCGATTCATGGGGTCACGCTGGTTTTTCCGTCTTCGGGCTACAGCACACGTGCCAATTTAGAAGCCATTGAGAGTGAAAAGTGCAGTATTCACCACTTCTTATGGTATTTTGTTTGAAGCAATAAGCTGTCTTACTGATTGTCATTCATATCTTTCTCTCATTCAAGATGTAATGTCATCTATGGAACCCCCACCATGTTCACTGACATGGTTAGCCAAGATTTACACAAGTATAACCTGTCCTCAGTTGAAGCTGGTAAGAGATTTGAAGACATGAGTTCTGCCTTTCTGAATATGGTGCGATCCACACATTTGCTGTTTTGTTTTAGGGATCATGGCTGGCTCTACATGCCCTCCTGAGATCATAAGGAAAGTGAAAGTGGACATGAATATGAAAGAGATAATAGTGAGCGTATACTTTTCCTGTATCTCTTCAAACAACTCATCAACGAATTCTGAAATAATTTTTTCCTTCTTCAACAGGTTGCTTATGGAACCACTGAAAATAGCCCTGTCACATTTATGGGATTCCCACAAGACTGTGATGAGTTAAAGATGAATACTGTCGGCTGCATCATGGCCCACACTGAGGTATAACTTCTTTTATCACACGAGCCTTTACCTCAGCACAGCAGCGCACTGAACTGTCCGTGAATGCAACACAGGCCAAGGTGGTGGACCCCACCACGGGGGAGATCGTCCCAGTGGGCGTTTCGGGTGAGCTGATGGTTCGAGGCAGCTGTGTGATGCACGGCTACTGGGAAGATCCAGAGAAAACCAGTGAGGTCATATCCATGGATCGCTGGTACAGGACGGGGTGAGCTGACCTTTATCCAATTATTGAATGGAAAGGGGCACATTAGTGCAAATGGGAAGAGTGTGTACTGTAGAGACTCTCTACAGTCTCTATTTTTATCAAAACAGTGACACAGCAAGCCTGAACAATCTGGGATACTGCCGCATTGAGGGACGGATGAAGGACATGATCATCCGTGGAGGAGAGAACATTTATCCCGCCGAGATAGAAGAATTTCTTTTTAAGCATCCAAAAGTGAAGGAGGTGCAGGTGAGCTTAAGGGGTGGAAAAGAATGAATACATGTGTCATAAATGTGCTATGAAAGTGTAATTATGCATGTGAACGGGACCCAATTACCTTTGATTAATCACAAACATCACACAGGCTGTGGCTATGTTCTGAGTATATATCCTCAACAAAATATACTCAAAATATACTGGATGAGTAAAACTAAATGCTTTGTTTCCTTCCCAGGTGGTTGGAGTGAAAGACGAGAGGCTGGGTGAGCAGGTGTGCGCCTGCATCAGGATCAGGGACGGCCAGACCGCAAGTGCAGAGGAGATAAAAGAGTTCTGCAAAGGCAAGGTTAGAGCAGATGATGGACCCCATAGCAGGTGACCCAAAATAAGCCAGGAAGTAATGCACTGATTATTTTTTGCTCTCTAGATTTCTTACTTCAAGATCCCCCACTACGTGATCTTTGTAAACAGCTACCCTTTAACCGTCTCTGGGAAGGTAGGGAAGCTCCGTTTTGACATTCCTGAATCTCAAGCACTCTCATGATTTGTGGTCCATTATTGAATTGAACCCGGTGTGTTTCCCTAGATCAAGAAGAACGAATTAAAGGCGGAAATGGAGAAGAAATTAGGCCTTTAATCATGCGGCTCCTCCTGGAGTTTGAGAGCAAGAAAATGAGTAAAGACCACACCTGAAAAAGTAAAGGAAAAATGTCAATATGTGTATCTTGTCCTTTAAAAGTTTACATAAAAATCCACTCCCCCTCATATTTAATGCCATTACTGACTCAGTGTAGTATTTACAGTTTTACCACGGTGTAAATGGCTTCCTATTTAATTACAATGAAACTGCACAACATATTCATCATATCAATCTTTATTTACTTTAACAATTCTGACAAAACAATTTAACATCATAACACAATGGCTGTAACCACTGTATCATAGCAAAACTCAATATATCTGGACACATGCCATACACAATTTGAAATAAATATGACTTTAATGCCAAACGTCAATATGTACAGTGTGGTATGTAAAAATCACCAGCTATACAAACTATACTGTACAGTCTGACTGTGGAGCTCACTTTAGTAACAGATTCTTATGGTGCCAAAAGTAACATCATAAAAAAAAAAGATAATAAAAAAGAACCAACTAACTTTTGGATTGAACTCCAAGCCAGACAGGTGGCGACACTGAGGAATTACCAAAAACATTTGAAAGGGGATGTGAACACAATTATAGTAAGTGAAATGGAAGCAAAGCCAATATCATATCTGCCTAAAATCAAACAGCCTTGTCCAATTAACATTGTAAATGCGGTGCATTACACAAAGGCTGCAAATAAAGTCACAGTAAGGCTTTAATGTTCATTTTGCCAAGCCCAGTCCACTGAGTAACTAACTTCAAAGCCAGATTCAAATGTTTCAATTACTGAAGGCTGATAACTCCCAACATATTACGGTGAGGTATTTAAATATAAAAAAATTACAGCTGAAAATGTCAGTGGACGTCCTCGGGGGGATATGTGAGGAGCAGCTTGTTTAAGTGCAGAAAAGAGAACCAGCTGAGATTTCCAGAAATACTTTAGCCAGCAAAGAGAGAAATGACTGCACTGCAGCTACATGGCTTCCAACAATCAACATTCACTTCGGTCATTCTTACAAAAACAAGGTCCATCCACACTTCTCCAACCACACCTTATAGATGCACACCTGCAAAAGGAACTTTGCAAACAAGAAAACGGCATTTTAAAGTACACTGCAAGATAAATTAGTTAATATAAACATATCCCTTTTTAAATATTATACATTCTAAAGAGAAATACACTTTTTTGTGCAAATTAAGAGAAAGAATACGATGAAAGAAAGGAGGTGAGCAGGAAGCTGTGGCAGACTCATGACTCTTGTCAGAGATGAGAATTTTCTGATGAATCATGGACCTGCAGCTGGAAATTATTCAAATTTTAAGTTGACATTAAGAGACCAAAGCATTGCAATGACGGTCGCACAAGCAAAGTACAACACAGCTTCAGGCACATGCAAGTATGTGGTCGGAACAGACGCACAAAAGGCTGTGCACCTACTCACAGATGCACTGAGAGCTGTGATCCAGAGGCAGGTGGATTGTTTAGTCAAGCATTTACTTTACTCACACTCTCACACACACACGAGAACATATCACTCTCCTATCTGTAACACACACACGCACACAAACATACAGCAGCACAGGTGTCCTCCGCTTCCACTTTTTATTGGGTTGCTAGGCGTTTCAACAGAGGTTTGCATGGCCCCGTGGATCCCTCATACACTTAAAGGGAGCATGCCTGGGGGAGACACAGCTCTGGAGGTTGTTATGGAGGTCAGGGAACTGGGGTCTAATCCATTAACGGTCCTACAGTTGACACAGGGAAATGCACCATGTCAGCAAGTATCAACATTAAAGAATGGCAAACTGGTCATGTATGATTAAAGATAACCAAAATGTGGAAAGAGTTTCTAAAAAAGACTTACGTTTTATCAAAGTAAGTGGTATGTAGAGAGTGCGAGAACTTTGTGGCATTGCTGTTGATGAGTGTACCCTTGTCCGTGGAGTAATTTTTCCTTGCAGCCTGGTCTTTGGCAAAGTTCCTACAAGCAGCAAGTTTGGACTCCAAAGCCTAAAGACAACCAAAAAGAAAAAAAAGAAAAAAGTCAAATATGTATTTAGTTACAATAAAACTTGGCAGAGGATGCAGCATGTCAGGATTTAGTGACTTAAAGGACAGAATATGTTCTCTCAAAATAAATTATGCTTACCCCAACTTTTCTCAGGAGGTCTCCAACTATGTTCAGAGCAGAGATTCTAGCAGAGGGTGTGAGGGCGGAGCCACCGCAGCCATTGGTCAATGCTGGGACGTACAGGAGAAGCTTTGTTTAGGTCCCAGACATCTCTACATGAATGCACAAAACCAGGGCGGGGTGATTCTTACCTTTCGGGCTGATGAAGGCGTGCTCCATAGCCTTTCCAACAGGCGTTGCAGGGAGGGATAAGGAGGCCTGCACTGCGGAGTCCATCTTGTCTGTGTCTAAGGTGGGGGAGCTCGGTGCCGACATCCTGTCTGTGGTCCTCTCTCGCACTGCCAGCTCCTGTCTCAGATCTACAGAAAATAAACCGAGTGAATCTCAAGTTCTCATCCAGCGTGCCTCTAACGGATGACAAACTGCTCCCTAAAATCCTGAGTGGTCGCCTCTTTACCTCGGGCCTCGTCTTTCAGCCGCTGCACAGACACGAGGAGGGACTCCTTTTCGTCCAGCTCACTCTCCAGGAAGGCATTTCTCTCAATAGCCTGGTTCAAACGGCCCTCAAAATCCTCGAGGGACACTATTGTAGCCCTACAAATAGATACGTTTGTTTTATGAGTATTGCAGAACATTAAGTGGTAAAAAATCTAGACAACAGCAGACTAGGTTATTCACTAAGGTTGTGAAATATTCCACTCTGACCTTTTGGCTCTCTCCAAGTCATCGTTGGCTTGTTCCAGCTCGCGGACGTATTTGTGTAGCTGCTCCTTGATGCTGCGCGTCTGTCCCAGGTCATCTTCTAGCATCGAAATCTGCTTGTAACTCTGGGCATACTGCTGCTCCAGTTTCTCCTGATGGGGTGAAGAAGAAAAAGGAGTCCAGGCTTAGCACACTTAGAGAACTGTGAGCGCTGACCCAGCCAGCCATTTGAAAATAGTTTGAAAAACTATTGTAAACGGTTTTCTCCATGTAGTTATGAACACCACTAGAATAAATGAGGAGAACCGCATGACAGTCAAGATAAGGCCGATTCTTTCCCTCTATAAAGAGCCTTTTGTTCTCGGGGAGAGCCAGTGGCTCTTTTCTCTGAGATAGTGGCAGGACTGCATGTCTTTACTGTCGCCCATGAGGCACAAAGACAGGAAAGCTTTATTCTTAACGTTTCTGGTTTGTTTACAGGACTCATGTTTAGCACTGGGTGGGGCAGGTGGGCTCACATGTCAGACCATGTGAAAAATCACAATGATTGGATGGCAAATTCGTCAATGCGCACACAAACCAGATGACAATGAAACTGATCAGCAACGCAGGGTTCAGCCTGTTACGATTAGGAATTAGACTTCTCCTTCCTATTTTCTTCCTCTTTATCCTGACATCCTATTAAGGAGTGCTGCAGGATTACTGACAAACATGCCTTTTCAAAAGCGAGGACACTAAAGCGACGCTTGAACCTTGAGCTGAGGATCAAACAGAAATCGGATAATCTTGTGTGTAATCACAAATGACTTTATTAGACCCACAGGTGATAAAGTCCACAAAGAGCTACGAGCCTGCCGGTTACCTTCAGGTTGGACACCTCGTTCTTCAGTCTCTCGTTTTCAGTTTGCAAATCCCGAAGCCGGTGTTCAGCCTGGCTGAGCTGCGCTTCCAACTCAGCCTCTAGCTCTCGACTCCCCTCCTGGAACTCCTGGAGCTCTTCTTGGGCATCTTGGCAACTGGATGGTGCATGGAGAAAGAGACGGGGGTAATACATAAACCATCATTAGAAAAACTTTAACAAGCCTTTTAGTTCAGAGCTAAATAAGAGTGTGAATTTTAAGGACCAACATGGTTTAGTTCTCTGACTCAAGTCAAGCTTAGTGAGAACACACTGTATGTGTCAGCATTTAGCCAGTAAGCATGCTACATAGATACAGCCCCAAAGAGAGAGCTGAAGTGTCACAGTAGCCGGTTCAGAGGTGGAATTGCTGCTGTGTGTCCCCTGCTGTGGAGGGTGTTAATAGGTCAGGCGAGGAAAAAGAGGAAAAAAACAAAACACCAAACCCTGAAGGAGGATAAGGCTTTAGACATTACATAAGTGTACATGTTAGTCAAGACTCACCCTCAGTACAGGATTAAAAAAACAAAACAAAAACAAAGACCAAATCACTCCCAACATAACTCTAAAGTGCCTACACTGAATTAAAAAAAGTCGACTGGAATACAAACAAAAATATTCTGTACAGTCAGCATCTGAGTCAATCTTATTTTATTCTAAAACCCTGTGAAGAATGAACTGTGCTAAACACTGGTCTGAGATCAGCTGACTTGTTGCCACGGCAGTGACCTCTCAGTGGCTCTGCAGAATACTGGAATTCTTCAGTTGTCAGTTGTTGTGCAGGGTTCCACACATACCAGCATCAGAGGCCGCTTGATCAGCACGCTGACCCAATAACCTGCCTGGAACAGTTGGCCTACTTCAGCAGCCCTTTCTATGTGGATGGGAAGCAGCGTGAAACTAAGCCCGTGTAGCAAAGTTAAATGGGTGGAGTTAAATTGTTGATGAAAAGAGAGAGAAATCTGTTACAGATGAATAGAGTGATAATGTTTAAACAAGTAGGGCTGCAGCTGTTGATGGATCAGCGTTTAAGTGCTCCTGGGAAAACACATGCTCCAAACATGTGCGAGAAGCTGCTCAGGGCATCTAACTTTGACTTTGTTTTTCCATGGGCTGATGCTGTTCCTTTGCGTACCCACAGCAAGAATTTCCACGAAACCCACAAGCCTTTTAACCCTTTCTCTTGATGGGCAAAAGGCCCCAGTTCCTCAAATAGAAAATCCAGATATAAAAGAGTTCACAAAGATTTACGCAACCCCGCTGCCTGAAGTGGTCTGTGCCACATGTTTGAGCACTCAGAGCTGTGGTCATTTCCTTCTACGCAAGTCAGCAGGTTTGTGGCTGCTGATTTCATAGAGCCTGTCTGGTCATTGGCCTTATATGGGCTGAACTCATCTGTGTAGAAACATTTGACAGAGAACCCACAGACATTTTCAACCGACGGAGGCGCTTTTACCAAAGCAGAAGTAGAAAATATTCATCTAAAAGTTTTCTTTTTTGGTAAACATCTTATGAAATATTGGTTTAAGATTGCAGCCTGGTTGTGGCAGAAAGTACATTTAGAACATAAGACAAATAAATGATGCCTACCTTTTCTTGTATTTAAGGGCCTGTAACTTCCAGTAATCAACTTCTTCATCCTTTGAGGCAAATTTAGGAATCATCTCTGTGTCCATGACAGGGAACCCTGAGAATGAAAGAGGCTTTCTTATTGGCTTTACAGTCCTTGTTTGCGCTGACTTTAAAAATATTATGTGACTCAAGAATGGCAAAGGAAGGACTTTCACTACTTGTGTCCTGTGGCATGTAAAAGCAGGCACTGTGCATTCCCCTCTTATCTAAAAAAAATGGAGCAACCGATGACAACAGATGATATACAGGATCAAATTTCCCTCAATCCTAAGTGGTTGGTTTGTTTCACTGAAAAAAAAAAAATGAAAACACTTCCCAAAACTCCTATTACAAATAGTGGAAGTACTTGCACTCAACACTCCATGAGTCTGGTTCTTCTTCTTTAACTTCAATTCAGCTCAGCTCGTGATGTCATGTGATGCGCTATCCTTGCCAAGAGAGGGTAACAACCAAATGATCAAAGCTGGAAAATGTAGCTCAGTTGTAAGGCGTTAATGGCCTGTTAAGGGTGCTCAATCTGCTGTCCTCTGTTCAGTTTGAAGAAGTAGCATATTTAAAGACAGTTCCTCTTTCACGGTGTTACTAAACTCTTACTCTGCGTTCTGTGGCAAGCAGCGGAACTGCTCTCAGCACATCATTTAACACATCTGGAAAGAGCTGATGTGTGGGTGTCAGGGGGTCACAGCTGTTGCTCCAAGCATTACTGCTGTTGTTCCAAGAATATTTACAATCCCACCTACGTCCGGCTGATAGGTCCGGTAGTCAGTGAACATTACACAGGAAACTCCTCAGCTGGACTCATGGTAAAACAAACTCCGAGCGAAACATTTAGTCAGTGACTTCTAATGCCTTGGAAATTTGATGTATTATTAGTCAAATTGGGCAAATACTGGACCCTTGACTCCATTACTATATGGTTTGGATGATGTGTTATCTTCCTTGTTAAACAGAGGATGGTCAAGTCTCACTGGGATGGCGTCCCTGAAGCAAGATTGCCTGCCCTTCCGTTTAAACATTCCAGCATGGTGCTGTCAACAAGCATTTACTGACAACAGGATCCTCACATGCCAGGATGCTTCTCCTGAAATTAAAGCAGTGGAGAGAGGGAGACTTTCCCTTGCTGGAACTGACATAACGGGATATCGTCTTACGTGGAGGGTTTGGGGTCACAGCCTTCAAGGAAACTGCCCAAAATATCCAAACATAGCAGTTGTCCATTTGTTATGAGACAAAAAGAATGATGCAAACTGGGAGAAAAGCTTTCTATTCATCTGTTATCACCAATAACTATGGTGATAGGAAATGGTTTCCATGGTGATGGAGACTATAGCTCTAGGTCCTCTGTTGGGATACTGGAATAGAATGCAGCCATGTTTGTACCTTTACCAAACAGTACTTTTATAAGTAGATTTAGAGCTGGTAAACACAGTGGCATTGCTGATGTAACATAACACATCAATTAGAGGGGTTAGGCCATATGACACATCAGGTCAACTGCTGACACTCTGCCAAAACACGGGACAGCTCCTGCCATCTTTCATTTCAGCATCCTGTCAGCATGACCCCTGGATCCATTTGTCTGCTAACAATACCCGGTCAAACAGGGCCAGCAAAGAGGACTCATCTGGAAATAACAGGCAAGGGAAACGAAGAGGGAAGCTTCCTATCTCGCATTCCTATAGCTACATCATCTTTTGTTGGAGATGACTCTCTTAAAAGTCAAAGCACTGGAGGCGATGATGATGACCTCAACATTTTCAGAAGGGACCAAAGACAGAAGAGAGGAGGATGACCACACTTTTCCTCTAATAAATTCTTGATTGAAGCTGGTGTACCCATGGGTTTAAATAACACATTTTAAGCTAGTGAATATATCTATAATCTATGCCAAAGCCATAGGTGTGATATGCTGTTTGCTAAAGTGGGCGCTCAGAAGGACACGGAGAGGTCCAAATATGAAAATAGACACTACGTAGCCATCAACTAGCAGGCCACATTTAGCTGACCGAACGGAGGCTCCTGCCTAACGTGTTGATACCTGACTCTTGGCTTTTGACAGGAGGTTGAGTTAATACTAAACTCTCAGCTGTAAATGAAAAGGGAACCACATTCAGAAATGACAGACGGGAAGTGGAATGTAAATGAACAAAAAAGCATAACTGTCACCATTCGAAGTCTCAGCCGACATGGAGCTATCGCCCTCCAAACGTTAGTGAGCCGCGACAGACCGCGTAACACGAAAAGGCCAAACACTCAGGCCACGAAAGCCGAATATCTTCAGAGATATTTCCGTACCTGCTCTCATTAAAGCGGAATCTCGTCCTCTGTTCCGGTAAATCGCCCTCCAGCCGGTGTAACGTACAACGAACCGCACACCCTCCCGTGGCCGGCAGGAAACTGACTGTGGTAACCTGGTAGTGAGAGACGTGTTTAGGAAACTGCCAACGCGTCTCCCGGAACCAACGTAAATCCTGGGAGGAACGTCCGTGCTTACGCTTACGTAACGTGACGTGACGTCAGAACAGGGACGAGCCTGGAATGGCAGCCACACCTTTGGCCTTTACGGTAGTGTAGTTTTAACGACAACCACAGGGCGGCAGATGATACAGCACCTTTTTGTGAGTTTAACTTCTCAGTTTGTCTCGTTCACTTTGTATGAAAGACTAAATAATCTGCGGGCTATATAGTAATAACTGAAACAGTAAATCATAGCAAAAATACATGTGAATTTTTAGTTAAATTAGAATTAAAGTCCTTTATTACCATTCTTTGAAAACGTACATCAGTATAATAAAGTATGAAGCGCAGGCAGTGGGGGATGCGTCACTGATGTCACAGGTGGTTGGCCCTGTTTTACAAGACTATCTCTTTCCTCCACCCATTGCCAAAGGCAACGAGAGCCAATGAGCCAAAAGGGGACTTTAAGAACACTGAACTTTAAAAACAACAAGAGTTTATAACTAAACAGGCACGCTTATGGCACTCGACAAGGAAGACGACCCGGAGGAGGCAGGAGAATGTCCGGTCTGCTATGAGAGCCTCTCGGGCAGTGAACGGACTCTGAGCTGCGGACATGTATTCTGCCACGACTGCCTGGTTAAAACTCTTGTCAGTATCAACTGTGATGGAAACATAGGGGATACGATTGCGTGTCCTATTTGCCGACACCTGACATTCATACAAAAACAAAAGGAAACACTGGTGACACTTGCAGCGACCAAAGTTCCAGATGAAGGGCAGACCCTGAAAGTGCCTCTCCATCTCCAGGGCGCACAGCGCGCAGCCAGCCACGGCGTCCAACCTGGAGTAAGTTGGATTTCTCACTGCTTCAGGTGCACCCAGCTATCCCGTCGCCAGAGACTGATCACTCCAAGCTGTAAAGCGTGTCAGGTCTTCATCATAAGCACCCAAGGGCGGCCTATGGCCGAGGAGGACGCGCTCGATGTTGTGATGACCGTGGTTCGTCCTCGACGTAGGAGAAGATCGAGGATTTGCACTACAGCATGCTGCTTGCTTTTCTTGCTTTTGGCATTCACTATACTTGCACTGGTGGCCGCAACTCTACCGTGGATTTTATTGGCATAAACCACCTCCGTGGAAGCCTGAATCAAAGAGCCAAAGGGGACCGATCAAATGACTTTTGAAGGAGTGGATTGTTCTACAGATCTTGTTTGCTGTGAGTTTGACTAAAACATAATGTACTATATGATATACTGTCAATGGACTGATCTAAATGAAAATGTCATTTTCACAAATAAACTGTTTCAAGTAAAGGGTATGGAAGCCTTTACTGAAAGTCTGTTATAATCTTTAAGAAAAATAAATTAAAATAATAAAATCATCAAAGCTGCTCCTTTCATTGTTTTGCTGCGTTGTTGATTGCTCTGTTTCCAAGCAGCACACAATAGCTTTGCTGAGCTGATTGGTGTAAGAGGAGACACTGCTGGACAGTATGGACTGTAGCTTTAGGTAAACACAGAATCACTCAGAATTTACTGTACTAGTCAAGGATTTGGACTCCCTTGCACATAAACAATGTTGCTAACAGTGGAAAACTACAGAGTGAGATGCGCTGAAATGAATATACAGGATATCAAACATTCTAAGAGTCGAAGAAAGTAATGCAGACTTATGAATCACAAATAAGAGCATGTTCTTGGTCAACTTTTTTCAGGTTCACTACCATCATGTCAAACACGTACACTCCTCTCTGGCAGGTCTTCAGTCATCCTGCTTGGCCAGTCCCACAAGTTACACACCCGAAAAGACTTCTGCTTCTTCCCTGATTCCTGAGTGTGTGTGAGGGAGAGAAAAATTAAGTCTTAAAAATTTTCTCTCTTGCAAATTAATTAACAGTCACTCTGATGTGATAATATTAAGAATTTGAGAAGCTCGCCGTTTCAAGATGAAGGAATTACAGCGTCATAACTAACACCGTGTTCAGACTAAAAACTACTTCACACAAGCAAGTAACCCACAAGCTTTCAGACGTTTGAAATGAAATGGTGGGTCTGGGGCTGCCCGTCCCTCTGGGATGTTGGGCGGGCTTTCTGCTGGGCGCACTTGGGTGTCGGGGCCCCGGCTACCGCTCCTGTTCCGTACTGGGGTGGCCTGGGCCTGGTGGGGCCGACAGGCTGCTGCCCCTGGTGCTGGGGGGGGGGGGCTCCGCTCGTCTGGGCTGTACCCCGGGCCTCCTCTGTGGTCCTCTGGGTGGCTGTGCCCTGTTGTCCGCTTGTTTTGTCCCTCCACAGGTACTCGTGACGGCCCCCTTCAACTCCCCCCGTGGATACAGTTTGATAGCAGCTGGTTGTCGGATTTGGTTATGTTGTTTCTTTTATATCTTCCCCCTCACTTCGCACACCCACCCTTCCCCATTCCCTCTCTCTCTCTGTCTTCCTTAATCTCTCCCCAGTTATGTTTGGCATAAAAATGTACATAACAAAATAAATCCTCAAGGGTTGGGTAGCAAGGAAGGCTTGACAAATATAGGGCCTCCCTTGCTACCAGGGGTAGCAGTCTACTGGCCCCGCCAAGCCCAGGCGCTGTCTGGCACAACTGTGGCAGACAGAAATTCATTCTACTTGCCATGATGCTAAACAGGACAAGGGGGGGAAAAAAGACATTGGAAATGAAAATATGCAACTGTCGATGTCTTCTTTTCCACCTTTTTTGTAAGACGAAATGTAGTTTTACACAAGCACGTTAAAAACGTTAAATTAAAAACATTTTAAACATGCCACTGCAACACAAGCAGAAGTAATCTATTTTCTAACTTAATCAGTGTGATTAAGTTAAAACCTTCTTGTTTACATGTCTGCAGGTAAATAGCCAGAAGTATTTCACTAATGTATGAGCTAATGGAATAAATCTCTGTTTCCTGTTGTAAGGGTAATTAAAAATAAGTAAATCAAATAATGCCACATTAACCAAGTGAGATAATTAAAAACATAGAGTTTAATATATATATATATATTTATTTCTGACATTCTGATGAGGATTGCAGTTAGGCTTCACAGTACACACTGTGTTCCACTTGATATGCTAAGCAGCAGAGGAATGGGTGGGCATGGTGGGCTTGAAAAGCGGCAGGTTTTGTTTGCACATTAGTTGTAAAGAGCAGAAGGAGGCAGTACATCCACAGGCAACTTCCACTCCTCCATTGTATTGCTAAAAAACACAAAGAACCCCCCCTGCAACCCACATTATCTCGAATCCACCAATGCACTCTTTATTACCCCTCTAATAATCCTAAAAAGACAGTGATTGACACCAAAACATTGATTATCAAAAGACTATCTAAGAGCATGCATGATAATGTTTGTTGTAATCTGATTTTACTCCCCCCTCCCGCAAAATGTAAACAAATTGGGTTTAATTTTAGAGCTATTTACTTTGTGATAATGTGAATCAGAAAATAGTCTTATAGCTGCTGAAAAGTCTTATTTAACTTTAACAGTGTACCATTCGGTGCAAATGATCGCTCTTGTGAATATGTGCTTGAAAAAAGTTGTAAAGTTGATTTACTTGCTGAAATTTGTTTTATGATGAAATCATCACCCATATTTTCAGGAAGGGTACACAATTGTTGTTTCCTTATGGCAGCATAATACCCACACCTATAACAGAACTTAATACATGCTTTAAGGAGATCGTTCCAGCTATGATGTACAAAAGCATTTGCAGTAATCACACCATGTTCTAATAAAAGTACATGCCAAGAGGCCGTCACAAATCGTCATTTAGTTTCTAACTCTTGTTTGCTCCATTAGTTCGGACACTTCCACATGACATACTATTTCACATTCAAAGGAATCCCTGCCTCCTTGTCTTAATGAAATGGTCCAGCACAGAAACAAATCCTCCAGCACACAGTAACTATGCCTAAAGTTCCAAAAATAACAACCAGAGGGCACTTGCAAATGTTGTCATATAATTACCACAAAGTTCAATATAATCAACATCACCAAAATCTTCATAAACATATTCCATTGAGAACACACACTGAGGCATATCATAGATCACTTTTGGAGAGATATTAATTCATTTAGTCATCATCATTGAATTCACACGTAAAACAAACAAATTGCTTTGCAATGAAATTAATGGCTTTTCTTTGTAGGTTTGGAAAAGGGTTTGACCGTTTATCTTAACTGAGGTCGATCAGTAAACACTGTAATTGCACTTTAATTGAAGCAGTTACCGTCCTTGAGACATTTGACATTGGATAAAAGATTGACACTGCAGCATCAGGTGAATTTGAAAAGTCTAATTTTTCTTGTCCAGGGTGACAAGTGTTTTCAAATTTAGATGTGTGCCATAATTATTGTCTGCTCTTTGACCATGTGTGTTCTTAGTTGAACCAAACAGTTCTAAAATAGTCCAAATGGGACTAAATTGATCTGATTATCCAGATGGAAACCTTTAAATAAGAGATGCTTTTCTAATAAAATAGAATCAAACACAGGGCATCAGTAAACTGAGCTGTAAACTGCCTGAAAGTCAAAGCTCCAGAGACAGAATTAGAAGGAAGCTGACTTTTAGCAGGATGAACATTCTGCATTTCTGCTGCAGCATCATAGTAACCTGGTGTTAAAGTGTAAAATTAGGAATCTACAGTACACTTGTTCATTGTGTGCAAGGGCAAAAATAACATGATTTTTTTTAGTCATTACATTTTCTACATGATATATATCAGCACATATATTATTACTATATGTTCAAGATATGCATTTTACATATACTTACTCTCTCAGTTTTATATACATCACTTTATGTACAGTCTTTGTATTTACACTTGGGGGACAAAGGTCACTGAACCTGAAGCACTTCAAACAAAGTTAAGAGAGAGAACCACACAAACCTAAAGGCAGTGTAATCCAAGCTGCAACAGCGTAACAGACGTGGGGTCTAAATTTATGCCCAGGTGTGAACGGAATACTAATACTGACACAAAGTAAAGCACTGCCATTCTGATGCCCTTAATCTGAAGCCGATTGATCATAGTGACTTGTCATGCAAAAACATCATGGTGCTTTTTTTTCTTCAAATACTAGAACAGATGCAAGTACAAAAAGCTTGAATTACAATAACATTCTTCTCTTCTCTGTGCTGGTACAGTATAAAGTGAGTTTACCTATACAAAGGTAAAAGTCTGAATAAAAACTACAATTTCCTTTTGAGACAGGAGAGAAGTAAAGATGACTGGGGAAGGGGATATTATGAAAACTGCATTAAATGTTTAATCCCATATGCAAAACCCTTCTCAAAAGGCTTAGCATGTTTCTAATGTGCACAAAGCTCAAATACCCTGTGAGCAGTAAAACCGGACAACACTTTCACTCTTGTGTCTGTTTCAACCTGAGGACGGGATTTGTTCCTACCATGTATTGTTATGACCTAGTCAACATTTGAGTATCATATTGCAATGTAAGTGTCTGTGTTTTAATAAGGCAAAAAATAAGAAAAAGAAACTGAAATAAAGACCGAAGAATCAAATTACAGATGAACAAAGCAAAGCACAAAAACGAGAAGTCAAAGAATTATTTTAATATAATATTTGTCTATATTCCAGTCTTTCCACTTAAAGGCAACTGTTCCTCCACTATGGCATTTTGGTGTTTTTAGAAGTCACATTAATGTAATAGCGAGCAGTTGAAGAAGATGAGTTTATTTGCAGCTTGTAGCAGATGTGAGGGAAAGGGTCATGTTCTGTTTTGGTCAGGCCGGCTGGCTTTTCCATTAGGCCTTGGCGGCGACAGTTATGAGCATGTTTAGCCATAGGGATGCTGGTAAGTGATGCGTCAGGGTCATAGGTCATAGAATGGTGCTCTGGGGCTCCTCCTCAGGCACAGCATCATCTGGAGAGTCTGTCACTGCCATGGACCTCCTGCAGGGGGCACCGCTGAACTCATCGATGAGGCTGTCCAGATTGACATTGATGGAGGGGATTTCATAATTGAAGATATCTAATGGCGAGCATGATGGGAAAGGTGAGTAAGATGAACAGAGTAGTAGAAAATGGTGTTGGTGAGCAACAGGAGGTGGAGAAGAGGTTGTACGATTATGATAATGAGATGTAAAAATGGAAGAGAGCAGAAATAATATTAATTGATTTGAGTCTGAACTTATGGTAAGTGTGCATATGATGTCTGCCCTGATTGAGGAAGTCAGTAGATTCCATGTGCTTCACATTCTACATAGGGATCTTCTCAGTGTGCTATTAGTCATTCAAACAACCTTGGCAGCGATTAGACTTGCATGTCACAGCTTTTTGCGTCTTTTGAGACAACAGCAACAGATACTAAGCAAAATCATTTAAAGCATCAAATAGCTGCACAATGACATTTTACACATCTACAACAATGGTCAGATAAACCAACAGAGAGGCAACAAGATGTGTGCGAAATTCTGTGAAAAAATGGTACCGAGACACCAAGAGGCTAACAGTAACAATGGAAATCTAATGAGAATTGTACATAGTATTTGCTGATAAATACCGATAATCTAATGTGCTGCTCCATTTACTGGACACAGACCGATGGCTATCCTGTTCAGGAATGAGATGGAGTGTGGCAGTGTAGTAAGAGGAAGCAGAGATTATAAAAAGCAATGAGCCTGCTGAAAGAAGAGTGGGGGTCACCTTCGCACCCCTGGTAAAAGTGGCAGGGGTGTTAGAGGGGTTAGATGTCTGCCAGCATGGGGCTGAGAATGCCAAACAAAAGGAAAGAGGGGCTTTAAGATGAATCTTTGTAAGCGATGGCATCTGCAATGTGAGCGCAGTGTGGTGCACTCTGGGAAGTCCTTAAGCCGTGCGTTATTGGTTGAACTACAGCAAAGCGCAAAGAGACAATGATGCAAAGCTGCTAGGAGAAAAAAAAAAGTCCAAATTAAGATCTACACATGGGTGTGTTTGAGGCAGGCTGCAGGAGACCCCAGAGGCATCCACAGTACGAGGCCAGGCAGTGAGATGGAGTACATAGGGCGGGGGCGGTCTGGCTTACCCTAATGTCCCCCTCACACTTAGCCCACACTGTATCCCTGGCCTCAAACAGCTGCAAAGTACACAATAGTAGCAGGGGGACAAGAGAATGATAAATATAACAAAGTAAAATAGCTTTTATATTTTTCACATTTAACCTCATTATCAGAACATCATACTCTCGGTATAATGTGTGGGGGGTTTCTGGCTGACACCTGTCTGGTGTGAGCTGTGTAAGCCTCTGACCTACCTCTGCCGTGTGGGGGTCTAAGTAACACAGATAGAACAGAGAACACATGATGAATCTAATGGCAACTTCCATACAAGCAGGACGAGCTATGCTTCTCTGATGTTTCCACACATTACCCGGAAACATCTCACATAACACAAGCAATGAGTACAAAGGTCAGGAGGTCTGCTCACTACGATAGCACAGCGATACTTGAAATTACATTGCATCATTCTCAGGCATCTGTGTCTAAAAGGCAACTTTTTTTTTTTCAAGCATTCGTTCGGGAACAGTCAGTTAAAGGGGATAAGTATCCTCTACGTCTACAGTTCTACAGGGTCCTACACTCGTCCACCATCTCCATTGGACAGAGCCACAGCGAGTCTGAGAGAAGGCCGCTGCAGCCCCACCTGTGGTGGCGGGGGGGGTGTCGTTGCCGAGGGCTCATGTTTACCTGTAGACATGCTCTCTCCGGGAGACAGTCCGTCCAGGAGACCCTGCTCCAGAGGCTGGGGAATCGGGGCCACGGCTGGGCCAGAGAGCCCTGGGGGAGCCGGGGGGGGCTGAGGTGGAGGCAGACTGGGTCTCTGCCTGGGCTTGGGGGCAGGTCGGGACTTAGTGAGCGTTCCTGTCAGCGAGGGCGGTGACGAGAGGGAGTGGGGTGCCCCGATTGAAGACTGCCCAGGGGAGGACGGGGGTACTTGCCCTGGAGGACAGGTCAGTCCGTAGGGAGAAGGGGTGCTGGGAGGTGTTGGGGACAGGCTGACCGGTGACGGCTGACCTGTGGACTGGTCGGACATCCCTCCTGACTGGACGTAAGGGACCTTCGGAGGCACAGGGGCCAACTTTTTGGAACCTAGAAACACATGCTTTATTATGATCTGATATTGGAGTATATAAAATACAAGCTAACAGACAAAAAAAGATAACAAATAGGACTGTAGAGTCATAAATATCTAACTATCACCTTTTGTCCAATGTAGCTGTTAGACACCATTGCTAGCTTTTTTAAGTGATTCAGTGCCACAAGATCATGAAATAATTTTGGTGTACAACAACCCTGAGAGTAGGTGTAAGCAAAGTGTGTGAGAACACAGTTCAGCTCAGCAGAGCGATTAACTGACCTTTGCGCAGCGTGTGTGGACTGTGCTCTGTTGAGTGGGGTGACTGACTGCTGCTCTGAGGGCTACTGCTGGGGGGCACTGTTGGACTTGCCACCTGGATGGCTTTGTGTCCAATTACAGGGGAAAGCTCTTTACTCTTTAGTGAACTGTAAAAAAGAAAAAAAAGGAGAATAAAACTTTAGGACATCATGATGTGCAAAAGTCCAGAAACAGAATTTCACTAAACACACAACACTTGGACTTTTGGGATCCTGCATTTGCTGTACATTATCTCAGCGTTACAAGTCACTACCACCATCATCACCATCACTTGTAAGACTTGAATCAAAGAATATCATATAGAGGAAATGAACATCAAGGAAAATAAGTTCAATCTATTTAAGGGATAATTTACTGACCAAACATCATTTCCAACCCATTCAATGCCTCTTATTGAATAAAAATAGACATTTTTTTTTATAAAGGAAGACTCTATGTATCTTACTAAAATCTATTAATTTCTTAACCTCAACTCACCATTATCGACAGGTCAAACACTGAAAAGATGCATATTGGTTCATATGCATGACAGTGGTCAATGTAACTGTAATTGTGGTCATACTGCAGTGTGTTTCCATCATCTAGTGCATGTAACCTTCTTATACTGTAACCATTTTGCAACATTTTATAACTACTTTTGGGACCATTTCTCTTAATGAGCATTTTACAACTTAGAAAGTACATCCCACGGATAAGACATTTTAAGAGCGATGGGCAAATGCAGAAATGTAAACCATTTTGAGCATACATGATAGTTTCACACAAAACACAGGCATGTTATGATTTTGAAAGGCAGACATAGGCATACAATGCTCTGGTAGTCTAGAAAATATTGCAATTTCACAAAATGAAATTGCTTCCTTTTGTGCTGTGCGACTGTGTTGTGGGAAGAGTGATATGAAATATATTGTGATATGTTGAAAGTCAACAATAGCCCATTTAGACTGCAGTCAAAAAGAGAGAGTTTATTGCTAGAAAACATGAAAGAGAAAGATATTTTTCATTTTTTTTCAACCTAAAAAATAGTGAAGATGCACTGATATGGGCCAGCTTGGATTTTTCTATCTTGGTGTTTCATGCACTTTTAAAGCAAAATTCTGCCGACATAAAAATATGAATATGTTATGTTATTGACATGACAGTCATAAGATTGTACTACTTGTCTATGACTGTGTTTACCTTATATTACTAAAAGTTCACTGATCAGTCAGGGCTCAGAAAAAAAACATGAGGGATTTGCTGGTGTGTCTGGTACTACAACATAATCTATAGATTATTATTGGACATTTGGTTGTAGACTGGGCAGTAGTTGCTTTCAGGTTCCATCAAATCTGATGCTATCTGGGGATCTTGGAGGCCAGGTGAGTACTTTAGAGCTATTGCCATGTAGCTTTAGCTGCTTGGAAACACATTTAGTCCTACTGGGAGATGCTGTTGCTGAAGTGGATGGATGGGTCCAGTGGTATAATGTGGCTGGCATCATAAGTGTTGGTACAGAAGGTCAGTGTTAAAGGAAAATATGCAGGAATGCAGGTGTCCCCAGCAGAACATTACCCTGTAACAAAGTGAGCAGTGCTGTATACTATACTTGTCAATGGTTTCAATGCTGTGACTGATCAGTGTATGTCTTACAGTTTTAAAACTTAAATGTCCACTTTGCTCATGAACGTATTAACTAATTATACTTAAAAAAAACCACACAAATAAACAACCCTCCACTTAAAATAACAGTAATCAGGTTTCGGTTTTCCATAGAATCAAGGTGGTCATAATTTTCTGGTGTTAAGCAGTCCGCCTTCAATAAACAATCAATCGAACAGGCAAGTCATGAAGGTTCCAAACAGAAGGAGCACTATCAAGAGAGCTGACAGACCTTTATGTGATGTTTCACACTGTCCTGTGTGATTGTAACTCCATAGACTTATAAGTCAAGATGGGGCCAGAGACACTATACAAACTCAGCACTTTGGTCTGAGATGGAAGTTGATCGTGCTGTTAAAGAAATGTTACTCTGCACTGCACTGTTTACCGGGGCATTATTAATCTGAATGGTCAAGAATCAGTTCCATTTGAATCGAAAAAACATTTGCCAACATAATACACATGTTTAGATACTATTTCAAAGCCAGTTTTATGGGGTGATTGCATAAAAACAAGCAACTCCATAAGCCAGTAACATTCTCGGTTGCTAGGTTACCTCCAAGTCAGGCATTCCCAGACAACCTGAACGTTACAGAATCTGAGGAACGTTACTTGATAGGGAGGGCGAAAAAGTCAAAAAGAAATACGAGCCAACAAGCTTGAGGAGAAATCAGCTGCCACTCTGTGATGCATCCATAGTGGCCATGGGTGTGTTGTAGTTACCTAGTCAGCCTGGGGGGTCCTCTCTCTCGGGCACATGGACAGGCAGCCCACGGTGGGGGCGGGGGCATGGACGAAGGGAGGCTAGGGGGGTTGCCAAGGATCTGGTCATGGCGGGTTAAAACCAAGGGGGTTTTGACATAGAGTGGTGAAGCATTTGTATCGGGAGGGGGGGCATGTGACACTTCACCAGGCGGGCTGTGCTTGGGAAAGTGCAGACAGCTCGGTTTGGGGTTTGAATTGATGTCAAGTGATGAGGAGGAGGAAGAGGAAGATGAGGAAGGGGGCGGGGCGGGAGGAGTGAAGCCTGACCAGCGAAGTGGGGGCGGAGGGGGGGGGGGGGGCTGGGACTCGGGACCCGGTGCCACAGGGCGAGCGCAAGGTGGGGGTTTGGGATAGAAGTGGTGAGGGGTAGTGTGGCACGAGGTGGTTGGGTAAGGGGGAGGAGGCCGGTCCTCCCCAGGGGGTGGGTGGGCATGAGAGGTGTCCGGCCGATTGGGCAACACGTTGTCTGAGCTGTAGATATTGAAAGAATAGACAGCACAAATAAAACAGCTCTGGTGACTGAACAGGGAAACGCATTGGTGCGATATAGGATAAGCTGTTCTGATGAGTAAGGTGTGTTAGTGTGTTAGTTAATCCAAAATAGGGTTGAAAATAAAGAAAAGAATACGGCATTTCAGCACAGCGGTGGGCACCAAGCTTAGCGCACAGTCATCTTAGTGCAAATACAAAGACAAGCACAAAGAAATGTTAAATAAAAAGGTTTTATTGCAAAAGGAAAAGAATACAGAGTGTAGGACGTCTTCTGTGATCACCTTGTGTCTGTACACTGCATAGAGCGCTGAGGATATTTCTCTGGAACTAAAGTACTGGTCTGCAGCTTACGATATTATCAAGCTGAGCTGAATATTCCCTCTCTGCTAGATATAGAAAACCCTATCTGACCTAATCCTATGTGACTACTTTGCATCCCAGGTCCTGCAGTCAGCCCAGATCAGTGTGAAACAGACACAAAACCCTTTCAATGGCTGAAAGAGCCACAGGAAATGAGGGGAAAGCCAGCCAAGCCAGAAGCCATATTATCTGTTGTCTACCACACAGGCAGAGCCAGTGACCATGAGGTGATTATTCATGTGTTTATATGTGATAAATATGATAATGAACCCCCCCAAAAAATGGTCAAATCAGAGTGTCAACAGAAAAATAAATCATTCATGACTAAAGCTGAGAAAGCCAGGCCAACAGTGAGATGATGAATTTATTAGCATGCTTGCAAGTACTTGCATATTGAATTGAGTGTTAGGATTAAAACTCTTCCACTTTTCAGAGTTAAAGATGTCACTCACTGCAACATCACGCAAAACTCATGAAATGAAAAGTGTGAAATCATAATCATAAAATAGAATGAAACATGGAAATGTTGACAGAGATATCCTTATAAATTACAGAGGCGCTGCTGATTAATGGAAGTATGGTCACAACTGCAGAGGTTCTTAATCATATTCAACTGGAATTGTTGATGGTAATGATGATGGTGATGACAGTATGAACGAGAAGGGAACTTGTCTTTAGGGTGACTTACCAAACCCTCTCTGCTGGTGGGGGTGTGGCCGATGGGGAGGTGAGGAGTTCCCCGGGCTGCTCGGGAATAAGAGTGTCCGCTGGAGAGCCGGGCATGCCCGGAGGGGTGGAGGACGCCTTGCGGGCCAGTGTGGATGAACCCTTGCGAGACACCCAGGTGGTATCCATAACTCGGACGCCCATGCTGGAGCCAAACACAGGTCCAGAGTTATGCACGAATACGGCGGCATTACAAAACAGGTGGGGTTGGTCAGGAAAGAAGTGGGGAAAAAGGAACGATACAGTACCTTTGTATCTTCCTAATGCTGCATTAGTAAGGGAAAAGAGAGGCAAAAGGGATATGAGGTCATGAGTAATGCAGACTTTGTTCATGATACATGACTGAGAACACTCAGTCACTTAAAGGTTATGATAGGGACATAACATCCACACTGGCAGGGATGAGCGGTAGGCCGTGAGATGGGTGGATGCCAGACTGCATGTGTGCATTCAGTGGCTGAACTGCATTTAAATGGATGCACCTAATTAAAATCCATATCTATTTTCTAACATCAAAGCCCTTTTTTCGTACTTAGATTGGGTTAATTTTTGTTATCTTTATCTAAGTTTTCCACTGGCTGGATGAATGACTCAGGTCAGGTGATGCGCTAGTCAGACAGCATTGGGGGAGCTGGGTGTGGGAGGATGGGAAGATAGCATTAGAGAAATATTTCTTTAGAAAAACGATCTAACCAGCAATTTTCCATCAGAAACCTGTTACCATGGAGACAATACCACTCCAGCAATTGAATAGCCTTTTGATGAATTCTGGTAATGGGGTGCAGTGATGCACCGTAGAATGAGGCTTTGGAGGCTTCTGACACACTAGATGGAAGATTTTAGATCTAAATGTGTACAAACACTCAAGGATTAAAGGAGACACTGCCTGAGATGAGCTGTGGGGGAAGTTAGTGAAACAGGGATGTTAGGAGACTGGACAGGGCAAAAGATGAGCGAACTTGGCCTCTTACCCGTCTTTCTTGTAAAACTCTAACATCATGTTGTCAGTTGCAACACTTAGTGGGCGTCGGCTCTGGTCGTGCTGCTGCTTGCGATCAGATTGGTCCATGTCTGGTGAGGGCATGGAGCTGTAGTTGGAGTTGTGGTTGGTGTGGATCGGGCTGCCATAGCTGCCTGTCAAGTTGAACTCGATTTCTGTGGCACAAGCACAAAGAATATTGGCACGTGCATGGACTTTAAATGACAATTTCTGAAAACTACCTTGTCTTTCTTAAAGGGAAATTATATATAAAAGTTTCTATATGTATATACGGTCCACTAATGGTAAAAGACACTGATGAGCCAACATAATATTACCATAGTAATAGGAAACTGCATAAAAGGGAAAAAGGTGCAGTTATGTAGTCACAATGATAGATAGCCATTGAGATAGATTTAATGCTCAGCCTAATTACAGTACATAGATACATAATGAAAATCCCCACCTCCTGGAAAGAACCAGTCAGCGTGCTGAATTATGGGCTCAATAATGCCAACAATCTGCAGGGACACGGTGGTCATCATCTCTGTCATGTTGCTGTAAAGAGGGGAAAATTGCTTCAGGATAAACATTGTATGGTGTGTTTATGTGCAACTAAAAGCAGGAGTGTGTTGGGAATGCATACGGCTCCGTGTGTGTCCACAGCAAGTTCGGTCCAAGGACAATGGCCATGTTTCCGGCAGTCATCTTATTTGAGTCTTGATATTCACTCAGCTTGGCTAAAAATTTAACTAGGTATCTGTATTGTTAAAAAAAAAAGTATGTTTAAAAAATTACTTACATCTTTTATTACAAGCATGACATCTTGTCTTTTATTCACTGTGTCTTTTATTTGTATCTGCACATGTTTCAGATGTGCATCTGAAAAGAAACTGACCTGAAGTTATTCAAGTTGTCTGTGGGGAGTTTTTCACAAACTCCCATCAATGCTTGCAGCCTCTTGTCCATATCTTGAACACTGTGAAAAAAAGTTTATTTTTGTTCCACTTTGAAATAAATGTCTCCTTTTTTCTCTCTGGCAGCTGAAGATGAAATTTAATCAATGCCACCAGCATATCTTGAAAAACAGATTAGCAACTCACTTAGAGGCCTGAAACCATTCATCATAAAGTTCAGTGGTCATTAATGGCTCGGGGAGTTCACGGAGGTATGACTTCAGGGCCCCTGAAACAAAACAGAAAAAAACATTGTCAGCCTTTTTTCTCTTCAGAATACTAGTGAAGCAATGTCCATATCTTCACTCCCTCTAGTAGACCCTCCCAGTTAGCTCAGCGGCCACATTCAGACTGCTCAACGCTGATGTCGACTAGACAGTAATATCTGAATAGGCATCTTGGGAAAAGAGCCCTTAGGGGCAGAGAAGATGACCCGAGAAACTTTTATGCCATCTAAAATATGGCTATTCTTCACCTACACTAAGTCGAAAACCAGCCCAACAGATTTTTTATATTGTAAGAGAAAATACTCGTTTGGATAGTCAGTTTGCTCATTTCTTCCCAGCAAACACTGACATATTCTGGAGGTTGTTGTTATGGAAATTGGCTTTGAACATGCTCTTGTGTGGGTGTTATTCACCTGCAATGGCGTGCGGGTCAGAGGAGTACTCCTGCACATCTAGAACTCCACAGTCCAGGGAGGCTTTCAGCTTCTTCAGCTTGGAGGCTGATGGAGCCACCCTGAAGAGGCCCTGCAGACCCCACACAGGAATCATGTCATTATCAATTACAGAAAGGCCCGTGCATCCAACACTCACAGAGTAGCACTGACTTCTTCAGTTCCTTAGCTATACATTTCAACCGCATTTTGGTTTTAACAAACAAACTAACTATAGCATAAACCCAAACACTGAATAATGTGTAAGCGATGTATATGCATCTGTCCTGTACCTCTTCCTGCATGCCACACTCCAGCAGCATGGTGACGCAGGCTTCTATGGGAAAGGCAATCTCTCTCCCACTAATATTTAGGTGTTCCTCCAGAGACTTGCCAAATGATGGCTTCTCCACCCACGCCTCTGCAACACAATATCGCAGCAAGAATCACCCAGAGATACAAATAAACCTACGCACCAAAAGCTGCCATCTTGTCAAGTAACTGCTTTCTATAAAGGTTCAAGATAATTTTGGCATCAGTTTGGAAAATGTGATGTTAAAGTCGTTTGGTTAGTTTAGGAATTGTACATTTGTGGTTAATAATTACTGCTTAATGAACCCCTATGGGATACATAAACCTTTTAACTTCTCTTTTACGTGTAATTGTAGTAGCACTTCAGTTGCGGAAGCGGAGCAGACCTCATCTAAAACACCTCCATACCCACACAGCATGACTCACCTTGATGGGCTTTAATTTGAGGCAGGACACTTTGAAGAATTTCCAGTGATTTCCTGTGATATTCTGCCTGGGTTTCTATCAACTACAGAGGGAAGTGTACGTAGAACTGGTTACAATTAACATTCTGTAACAGGAATGTAAGAAATATAAATGATATGAAAAGTATAAATTAAACCATGTGGTGTTCCCAGACAGTTGTGATATGTAAAGAAAGAAAATATTCTGTATTCCTACAGTGGGAAAAAGTCGAGGTAATAAAATGTACTTACCGTCTGGAAGAAGTTTGCATAGTCTATTTCTTTGGCCACAAAACTGTACATATCAGCTGACAACTGGTCCTTAAAATCAAAGCAGAGGAAAAATGCAGGTATGAGGTTAACTAAACTCTGATACATGTAGAAGGGTTAGAACTCAGAGGGGGAGCAGTAAAGGGCAGGGCATAATAAATCATTGGCCCTGGTTGAGGACTCACTCTACAAATCTCCATCCGATTGGCTGCCTCTTCCATCTCTTCTCTCAGGGATTCGGACTTGGTGCCGGGCTGCAGAGTGCTTGGGTGACTGGATGACTTGGATGACTGCTGATATCTATAGGCAAATAAATCAATTAATAAATAACAACCATGGGATATCAATTCATGTTTTCTGCACATGGCCTCTAAACATGCACAGCAGGTTGAAAGTCTGACTCTGAAATGTAAACAAGGTTCACCTGGTTCGTGCTGAGTCCATGTCCAACACAAGTTTAGCTAAGTGCTTCCTCTGCTTCTGGATGTTAGGGATGTCCACCTGAAACATAATATCAGGAGTTCAGTTCAGATGAGGCAACTAAAGATTTATGCCAGATTAAGAGGATTCCATAACCTAATCAGTCCTTTAAATACTTTTGGCAGCTCACCTCAGCGAGTACATAAAGAGGCTCCACCACATCTCTCTCTATCTGAAGCTCGAATTGAAGCAGCTCCTGGGCCAGTTTGTCCTCTGTGTCCCCACACAGTTTCAGCATTTTCCTATTTAGTGGCAGAAACGCACAAAGTCAAAGGTGTTTAAAAGCAATTTAAATGTGAACAAGGGAAATCAGGACAGAGAAGAATTGGATGCCATGACCAATAATTAAGGATTCCCCATGTGATGATGTGTGTGGTTCTGTGTGTATATGTTTGTTTGTGAGTCAAGGATCATGAGTTAGTAATTAGTTACCCCAGGAGGGAATCGTCCCCCAACACTGCAGCTCCTTCCTCCATACATTGTGCCAAGATTGTGAGTGGTAGTTTTTTCTGACAGAGGAAAGAAATAATGCTACTGAGACATGATCACCGGGCAACACACCGGTTTCCGGTGTCTGACACGCATTTACTCACAGAGGGTGACTTGACAGATTTCTTCTCCGTGTCAGTCGCCTGCTGACCCTGCAGGCAGGCAGTCAGCTTCTTGTGAGTGCTGTGCGTCACCTGCTTTACCAGATCCAAACGCTTCTCAACCTGAACAGAAACATGCACGGCACAGTTTGGAATAGTCACATACACAATTTATATAACCACAGACACTGCAGTCAAAGCAACACATCTGGCACAAAGTGTAAGAAATCAGCTCCTGCTTATGTTTACATGGTACCAAACGATGTGGTATGCGTAATCTGCCAAAACTATCCCTTGGTTCTGTATGTCTTGTAGGATTTGGTGGCAAAATGAACATAATGTAAATTAAGTCTAGTTTTGTATATTTTGTTTGGCAAATGGATATACATAGCACCATCGCCTCACAGCAAGATGGCTCTGGATTCAAGTCCCTGTGAGAGCCAGGACCTTTCTGTGTGGAGTTTGCATGTTCTCCCTGTGTCTGCGTTGGTTCTCTCCAGGAACTCCGGCTTCTTCCCACCATTCAAAAACCTGGACGTTAGGTTGATTGGACGTTCCAAATTGCTCTCAGGAGTGAGTGTGAGTGTGCGTGGTTGTGTGTATATATGTGAGGCCCTTGGTAGGTGGTCTTTAATGATGGAAATAGTAACATATTACAAAACTAATCTTTACCCAAGAGATTAGACCTAGTTCACTTTGCTTTATTGAATTTCCGGACGGAAAAACTACACTGCAGTTACAGATGACCAGAATCTTTGCACATACCTGCAGAAGATCGTCGCTCAGAACTTCTGTTTTTTCTGCCCTGCAAAGACAAATATTTGAAAATGTTGGGTTAATAAAGGGTGGCAACAAAACATCATCCTGTTCTATTTTTAGGATAAAAATCCTAAAAAGGAACATATATCATACTGTTTAAATATTGCTGGTCTGTCATGGAGGATATGTAAAAAACGTTTTCATAGTCGTGACAGAGAATTAAATTGAATTTGCCATCTTTATTTCACGGATTAGGACAAGGGTTTTGTAGCATTATATCTGTCAGAGAAGATATGAAGCAATATCAAAGCAACATGTTGAAACTATTCATTCAAATACACCAATTCTTGATCAGTCACATTGCTTCTTGTTTGAGAATCAGATGAATTATGCAAGGGATACTGCAGAGCAGCAGAGCCAGTGGAGCAGATAAAGCTATCCAGTCAGAGAAGTGAAAGAGCCATAAAATCAGAAAAGAACAAACCCCTAGAAGTGACAAAATGTATCATGTCAGGTCAGTTTGCACAACTTATAAGTTTAGATTTGTATATTTTTTCTGCAAAGTTGATTTCATTGGAGCTCAACATGCCCTCTATAACAATAAAAGATTAACATGCAGGGTAAAAACAAATCCTGGGATAAGCATATATAGTAAACACATAAATGTGAGCACTATTTACTGATGCCCAAATAAATGTACTCAGACAATACAGGGAGGATAGATTGACTAACGTTTGAAAGTGAGTCAAGTCCACATATGCAGACCCCCTTGCAAGCACCCAGAAGCTCACATACTCTGTGTAATTCCGCTTCCTGTCTGGACAGGCTCTTCCAGCAATTGTGCCTGAACCAGGCCAAAGTCGATTGCAAATAATGGACATGAACTTATCTTTACCAAGAGAATGGAAAAGACCTTGGATTGTTCTTTTGTTCTCTATAATGCATCAACTAAAAAGAAAAAAAACAGTGGACTTATATAAATATATATATATTTTTTTTAAATATACTTTTTTATTTTTTTTATTTTTTATGTCACCAAAAGTAGGCAGTTTAACAATGTTATTAGCCTCTCAGCGTCGGTGCCAAGATGTGGACATGGAATCATGGGAACTGGGTCAAACCATGTACCAGTGGGTCTAATCACGCTTGTCTTTTGGAAAACGGCTCTACTCAGTGAACTATGAGTAAAAACATAGGAAATACAGGAAATGTCTGCGTGGATGCCTAACAGAGAATGATAGCAAAACGAGAGATTTCTGGCAAGATTAGTGTAGACAAGTGTGATCGCAGATTGCTGATTACATGATGAAGGAGGACAAAAATAACCAGATCACTGAAGTGTGACACAGTTATGTTGCTGGCCTTAAAAAATAAAACTCAACACATTCCCAGGCAAGGGTGCAGCATATGTGAGGAACGAAACAACAATGGAAAGCAAGAAGACTACAATGAAAGGGACTTGACAATCATCCACAAGTTGTTCATCTCTGACTGAGTCAGGAGTTCTACTGATAACATATAATTTATAAGTAACATATAAGTAATTTAAACATAACTCGTGTTTAAAATAAGGAAAGATAAAATAAATTAATATTACTGATGCTGTCATCATGATCCTAACATCAAACAGATTTGAAACAGTCTCAAAAGTCTTGTTCAATGAGCCTGTTTGCTCAGTACACTGTATTTCCTCCTTGGAAATAAGAAACATATATTATCAGTGAGTGAAGAGATGCAGAAAAATACTGAATTGCCTGTGTTGGTGATATAGGAGCTGCTTTGTCACAAAGACCCTGATGTGAAGATAAAATCTGAGGAAGAATTCTGAAGTGAGGAGTGATATTCCTCTCAACAAATAGAGTGCAGATTGAGCCCTTGGAGGAAAGTAAACACGTGGGAGAGTTGGCAGTCATGTGGGCGGTGTGCTCATAGAGAGGGAGGAAGACATTGCCAGGTTTATGCCAACCATCTGCCACAATACAGACATTCCTTTATCTAGAATTGCTGATGACTAAATACAAGCCGGCCAGGCATACATACAAACAATGCATACACATGCAAAAAATCTATAGATATGAAAAATGATTACCTTATGTCTTTTTTCAAAAATCTTACAACAGCTTAGAGGCTTAACACATACAGAATTCTCTCAAATGCTGTGATACAATGGAGAGTAGGGCCATCTGTGCAATGCACACATGGAAAAACACTAAAGAATGATGAATTATATAAGGAAGTATGTATATTTTTTTTAAAAATCTCCTCTCTACCTCAGGTAACACATTTAACCAAGTACAAAGATGAAGAAAGATTTGAATCTGCTAGGGACATCGGGGCTTGAATGTTAATAACTCTTGAGAAAGAAATGTAATATTGCTGTGCAAATGGGGCACTCTCTATCATTGAAATTTCATAAAGCTGGAGTCAAAATGTGGACAGAATCCATCCATGTTCTATACCCTCTTACCCCAGTCCTGGAGGAGCTGGGACTATCCCTGCTGTCATTGGGAGAGAGGCGTGGAGAGTTTGCTGGTCAGCACAGGGTCACACGTAGACAAACAACCATGTGAACTTATAAAATATATATGGTAGAATTCTTTATTTTGAGGTATGTTAATGTCAGACATCTGCAGCCCCAGCCGTCCACACAGCACTGTGCACGGCTCATGAAAGCTTAATTAATCCATGTCAATGTGGCTGAAACGGGAATAAAATTACATCTGTACTTTTGGACGTATTGTGCTGGTAGCATTCCAGCAGTTAGACTGCTGAGTATCTGAAATTGGATTAAAAAAAAAAAAAAAAGCGGCTGTGTTTTAGACTGGTCACACTGCAATGTAGCTAAAAAAGGAGTTAGCCTGGGACAGCTATGCTAGATTCACAGCAATGTGCTGCTCGGAGAGGGTAGCAGAGCAGAATGGTGGCCCTAGGCTTCAGAGGGCACCACATGGCCTAAAGTGCTGGCATGAGATCTGCAGCCAAGCACAAATACACTCACACAGTATATTCAAGTGAGAGAATATGTAAATATTTCTCCCGTGAATGCTTTGTTTCCTCAAATCCGCTGCTGTGCATCTAGTGCCTCGCTTTGGTTCCTCCCGTTCGGCAAAGCAGAGCGCTGATGTGAGACAAGGCTATTAGAACAGAAAAACCCACTTACTGTAGTGGTCCAGCAAACTAGGTCACAGTTCTGTCAAGTATGCAAGAATAAATGTGAAGGGAGTGAACACACACACACACACGCACGCACACACACACACACCCACACACACACACAAAGCACATATGTCCACAGAGGGAGTAAACGAACAAAAGTGCCCGAAGCGTGCTAGAACATTTCACTGGAAACACAAGCAGTGAGTTATCTCTAATAACTTTACTCTTGGTGAATAATTTCCACTTAGAGCACTCTGTGCTGGGACAGAACTGTATTTGTACACCTGCCATCTGCCTAAAAGTCACACACACTGCACAAGAATAATGACAAACATCCAGTACTGACAGGTGAAATAAAAAGCAACAAATATCAATACAATGCTCGACAGATGCTGTAGCAGAAAAGAGGGAATCTACGTATCATAATGATCAACATTTTGTAAGATTTAACAAAGGAATTGACAAACTAATGACAAGTGACACACTAGTGACAAAGCAGTGTCTAAGCAACTAATGTGAAGGAGGAGAATAATCCCTAAGAGCAAATAAGATCAAAATGACAGATGAGAATTTTTAGATATAGCCATAAGTGGTAAACAAAACAGGAAACTCTTATTAGCGGACTTGTGCTTCCTGTTTTTGGCCTACTGGCATTCCTGAATGGAAGGAAGTGGGCATGGTGAAAGGGTGTCACCCAGCTCCTTTGGGGTCATTTTGAACAAAAATGCCACTCTCGTCAAGATATCTTAAATCATAACTGCTTTCACCTCACAAGAGAATCGACAGTAGCTGACAGTTTGGTTATAAGCCTCTTAAAATGTTAAACGATATATAAAGTTATAATAAGCAGTGAACACAGCCTTATCAGTAACTGCTTTCTCCAAGTTTTCCAGTGCTAACACCACTCAATATTGTTTTTATCTTGATTGACACTCCATGACGAAGAAATATTATCGGTGACTGATTGCATGTTCTTTTTACATCTGTAATTATTCATCATTAGTCAGTCGTCACAAATTTAAACTGGCAACCATCAAATGTTTGAGTCTGAGGGACATGGTACATCAGCACGAAAGTATGAACATCAATTTGTTAAAATTAAACTTTGGTATTCTGTTTGATACATGATGAGCCACGGGTCGGTAAATATTTATAGCTGTGAAAAATTATACTTGCTCAGGGCCTACCTTAGCAAGGGCGTCAGGTTGATAAAGACAAAATGAAAATTACAGGGCAAAAGAAAATCTGAGTCAGACAGGATCGAGCCTCTCTCTTCTTTGAATTGCATGCTGTTTTCTGTTGTATGTGCTTTTAAAATAAAGCACTATTGAGGTTGTGGTGGATCATCAGTACATGGCTCCTTTAAGAGGTCTTTTGATGGAATTAGCTACACTGAAAGGGAGAAACAGTGCTTGTGTCTGATATTACATCATCTCTTTTAATGGGCTAAATGGCCCCTTGACAAAGGCTCTTTATCACAGCCAAACCATGTAGTATGCTGCCTCTGAAAGACAGGGGTTGTCAGAAAGAGGGGTTATCAACATGATTCTAATATAACAGAAGCCTGAGATTTATAACTGCAGTAGATCTTGTTTTAAATTGCAAAGATATACAATGTACAACACCAGAAAAGATTCATGCCTCAATGGTGATGCACCCATGCTCTCATGGTGAAAGGTCCTCAACTTCTGCTCTCTCAGTCAAGAATTTATCATAAGATCTGCCAGAAAGTGTTAAAAATGGAACCAAATAATAACTTCACAGTTTAAGCAGGATGCTCCGAGATTTCCACAGTGCTTTTCTCATCTGCCACACCAAAAGTTTAAGGACGTTTGGTGCTGCAGTGGCATGCAACAAGTTGTTTCAACATCCTAACAGAGCCATCATATGCACGCATTATTCACTAATAAAGTGAAAGTGTGTTAATATTGTGCTAAAAACCGACTGTCACGGGTAAAAACAAAACAAAATGCTAATAGTACCATTTTATAGTGAAGATTCAGGGAAATGTTACTGACTTACACAAAATCCTATTTCTGTCAGACTCTGGTTTCCTTCCACCATCCAAACGCATGCATGTTAAGATAATTGGCCACTTTAAAATGGCACTGTGTGGTCCTGTCACCTGTCCAGGTTCTACCCAGCCTCTCGCTCATTGACAGCAAGGAGGCTGATAAAGACAGTGGATGGAAGGATATTTTCTACCAGCCTTAATGAACCTGAACATCAAATGTAACACTTTTCTTGTGCTTCTCAGTTTCTTCTCACAGCCCACATCTATGCCATGTATCACCAATAACCTGTGAGAGCTGGTAATAAGAAAGCTTTGAGGAGTGCTTCAGATGCTGCGTCAGAATGAAAATCCAGAGTGAGACAATGCAGAGGAGAAAAAATAAACACAGCCCACAAATGGCTGCCATTTTTTGATGATTGGATCTATTGTTAAACTGCTGTCTTTGATTGACAATGACCACCAATGACCTGGTTGCTTTACCCAAATTTGTTGAAGGTTCTGGACAAATTCTGACCTTGATCTAAATATTGTGGGAAGATCTGAAGCAACCGGTTCATGAGAAGAAACCCACCAACATCACACAGATTAGTAGGCAGACACCCAGGATTCTTAAATATGAGGTACAGGACTAGACATTTAGGTGCTGAAATGTCTGCCTATGAGGATCATGCCAACTATTGAAAACAAAAACTTACAAAGCAAACTATTGCCACTAACAATACTCCAAAACTTGCAGTTTTTAATCAACTGCTCCTTATTTGGTCCTAAATTGTGTCTGCTTCAAGGAGCCGTGATAAATTCTCATTGAAATGTAGACAACTCGATATGGTTCCCAAAATTTCAAATACCAGTGTAATAAATTGCAATATTTTTTGTTCAAGGAAATAGAACAAAACATTAATTGATTTTTGCTTTTTGATGCAAAATCTTAAAGACTTGTGTTGTGGAATGTTTCACCCGGCTGTCCTAGACCTAGATATGGCTGTGTGTTGGGAATAGAGAAATAGGTCAAGAGAAATGGAGGGTGAGAGCTGTTTAAACCAGTGCAATATCTTTCTTGCTTACTTTAGTTTGTTTAAGGACACCGGACAAAGAAACAATACAATAAACCTAACTGAATTGAACCAAAAGGTTCCCTCCACTTTATGGAGCCCTGCCCCCGATTTTCTTTCAGGACAATAACCTTACATCGCTTTCAGCTATATAGAATGCATGACTGCACATTGTTCACTATAAAGTCTTGCTTTGCAGAGGTAATTGGTCAAGCCGGTGATCACATGACATGGATCTCTCCCAGGCAGGCAGTAGTAGCAGTAGGCCTGAAGAGCCAGAGGGCTGCTGACACAGCACACCTAAGCGCCCCTGAAAGAAGACCTTCACTGTCTACCAGACGTAAGAAAACTAGCAACGCAGGAGGCCTCGCCTCGAGAGAGGCGCTAATACAGGTCACGGAATTATAAGAGCATTCTACTTATACGCAATAAGGCACACTCACGGTTCTGAGATTGAAACACTTGTTATTAAACCGACCAATTCTACTGTGAGCTGGTTTCAAGGTTAGAGGCTCCAACCAGCAGAGTAACCCTGTCCCGGAGTGAGGATGCTCGATGCCTGAGTCAGCAGAACAGCAAATCGGAAACTGTTAGCAGTGATATAATTGGCTGTGTTCCCCGATTTACCTCTCTGAGCCTTCCTCGAAGAGCTCCGTCTTGCTCACGTGGCAAGGCAAGTGGTGAAAAATGACAACAAAGCTTGAACTGAATCCTTTCAAGGAAAATATCCATGTCAGCCATGTAAGGACAGGATGAGTCCCTTGTGGAAAAATGAACTTGAGTACAGTGTGAGATAAAAACATGAGGGCGGTTACAGAGCTGCAGTATGATCTGAGTGTTTTTTTTGTGTGAAAGCTAACATGAAATTGCCTCTACATACACGCTCTCGTCCACCCACCGATTCAGTAACAGCCTACAGCATATGGGTGCAAGAACACATAGATTCATGCATGCATATTAAACATGGGGCAAGCTGCCACTTTACAGTTTAATGCATCCACATTCTGTGGCTGAAAAGAAGTACTTTTGATCATCATATAAGATAACAAAGCCCTAAAATTGATCTTTGCTTCAGAAATTATTACAAATAACTATTGAGTCTAGGATAAATTTTAATTTCCTTCTAATAATAATGTAATTATTATATGTAATAATGTAATTGATTGTACATAATTTGTTTGTTTAAAGTTTATATTATCTATATGGTTTATATTGGGCTTTTACAAAAACAAAAAAACAATTTAAAATGTTACAGTTTGATTTTGACAGTAAATGTAAGCTGAGTCTTATGTCTCAGACAGATCAGTTCCCTATTCTCTGAAAGAGAGTCGTCCTTGTATTAACAGTATGTTAAGTAACTTTTTAGAACCTTTATATCAGGGGTGTCCTTTGGGGCCGCAGTCCAACAGCTTTTGGAGGTTTGCCTGTTCCGTAACGCCTGATTCACATCAATGAGCCAATAGCAGACGTTTGCAGAACTTAGCAATGTCTACAGGAGATCCAGTTGAATCAGAGTCATGTGTACAGAAGAAGGAAAATGTCTAAAACCTGCAGGACTGCAACCAGACTGGAGACCCTTACACAAAATCCCCCTATACTTACACTAAATCTAAAAAAGACTCTTTGGGTTGATAGTGATTCTACTTCTTTAGTTTCTTTCCCTTTTTTTTTGCTGGTTTGGCAAGTTGTTTCGGAGGTTGATGTCCTATGGGTATTGAAGGTTTCCCTTCTTTAACACTCCTGATTCTGAATACATGGATTGACTCTAAAGATTAACCTCTGCACGGGCCTTCTTATACAGGTCTGACTTCAATTATGTTTTTTGAAGCAGAGAAACCTTCTAAAACCAGCAGGACGATGGACCTTGAGACCTGCAGTCGCTCAGGCCTGCTAAATTGTGAAGTACTGGACAGCTGTGAATCTGTGAATATGTACTAACTTGAGAGTTTGTGAACTGCAAGCAGAAGCAGCTGAGGTGTAGAAACTGCACTGTACAATTCATGTTTTTCTTTAAGCTTCCCTTTTGAGTGTGTTGCAGAGAACCTTACACTCACCCCTAAAAATCCCAAACGAGTATTATGAGTGTTGTTTCACATCTTTGTGCTAAAAGCAGCGCGAGTTGTCATGTTGTCGCTCTTCTTCTCGTAAAACATCAGACTCCAAGAGATATTGCAGCCAAAATGTTGCCACTGTGTGCAATACCTCTGGACTGGCATGAATGGCTGGAAACAAATACAGCCAAAAATCAAAAAGTTGAATCCTTACATTCCTATGTCCTACGACCCGCCTGCCCACACACAGATCTACGCAAGCAAACGCACAAACACACTGAGTCACAGTGAAATAAAAATGAAAAGCCTGCTGCACGCAGCTTGAGCTCGGCAGCCTGCAAGGTGTGTCCCTCCTTAAGAGAGCATGCCACTCACACGGCCTTGTAGTAATAATGACCTGGCCTCCTGGTCCTAATCCCCCGGTGCTGAACAGAAAACACCTTCTGGCCTTGTGCTGCTTGACAAGCTGCTCTCTCTAAAGGAAGGTGGTGGTGGGGGGGGGGTGTGGGCCGGCAGTGTAATGATAGAACAAATAAGACTGCTGTTTGAAGTTATTCCACCCCCCCTCCAACCAGTTTGTTTGATTAAAATGCATCTCACATTATCACCAAAACATGACCGGCAATTTAAAACCCCAAGCCTGAGAGGTGTCCCCCACCTTCCAGCTGGCATACTGCGTAGTGAAAACATTGCGCCTCTTCGCATTTTTAGCCTCACGTCGCAGCCCACACCGCATCAGTCTTGATCATGTTCACCTATTGACAGGTTCGGTGACAGGAGAGGCAAATGTGACCAAAACACCGTTCCCACGATATCATTCGCGTCCATCTGTAAGATCTGAATCCCAGTCACAGGAATGGGAGGTGTGCTGGTATGCGTTACTGCGATTTTTCTATTTTTAATGTGTTTCTGTGGGCAGGTTGTGCCGAAGCTACTGGGGCAATGCGCCTACACGTTGCCTCTGCGGTAGCATATTCCAGTTGATATTACGCATAGGGACGCTGAGGGCGTTTGGACCGTTAGGGTATTCGCTTGCTCCCCCAGAATGGTCAATTGTCACTCGTGAGCCCTATATTTATACAAATCGCAAATACAAGATATATTTTTAATTGGATTTCATTCACAATCTTTCGAGCCATAAAGGGGATTCTCTCCCCTAGACTTAGCTTTGCGTAAATAGCGCACTGAAAAGCTTACCTTCCAACCGTCTGGTTGGCGAGCTGTCGCATCCGGTTGAATTGCTTCTTCATCTTGTATTTTATGTGTTAACACCTATATGGGGAAATATTCCGCATTATTTCTCTCAACACATAGGTCCGACCTCCACAGAGGCGCAGCACAAAATCCAGCCTTCCATATTTTCCGTTTCATTGCAAAGCAGCCAACTCCGAGAACTCAGTCCGCAATTACATATTTTCAAACGATGTCTTTCACATCTATATTCGCCCCCCCACGGTCTTTGCAGAGATGCTGGAGCAATTCACCGCGGGTACACACAGGCGGAGAGCGACAGCACTGACAAGTAGCGTCTGCGCATCAGTGCATTGTGGGAAATGTAGTATACGGAGTCCATGAAGGACCAGTCCAATTTACACACAATACAATGGTTTACTCAGTTAAGCATGTTTGTGCCTGTTTGTACATATATCAGATTTATTCAGATTTATACAAAAATCACAATAATGCACTGAGAGAAATGGAGGAAACTCAAACATGACTGAATCTGAAAGACTGCCTATCCATAGGTGCATATTTACCTTCAAAATGCATCGTATAGGCTTTGTTTCTGGTCAGAGATCAAACACGCTGCTAACAAATAAAGCCAAATAGATATAATCACATGCCACTTAAAGTAGGGTATAAATACAATGGACCATGCAATCAAAACGGTGTCAGTCAATGTTGTGACAAACACCACCATCTAGTGCCACATTTGTGCCAATACCACTACTAATTACAACCTTTATTATACAGCAATTATCAATGAACAAATTTATTTTATTTAATTTCTAAGATTACAGTCACAAACAAATCATTCAACACAATTCATTTAACAGATATGTTTTATAACATCTTCCTGACATTATTTTACATTGGTGCCATGTAGAGCAATATTTAGCATGGTAATATTTTTTTCCTTTCTTTCATTCACTTTTTTAAAAACTTTAAAACAATTCCAAGTTGTTTTTCTAATGGTGACTGTTTTGCTTTAAGGTTAACTGTCCAGGCGGGAGCAGTCGTGTCCTATAAACCACAGACTTCTGGACAACACATCGTGAGATGGTAGCACCAGCTGGATTATTTGCCTCTTTACTCAGTGTGAGTAATCTGGTATCATGCATGTATCATGACACTGCAAGCACAGGTGACATTTCCCCCAAAATGAATCAAAGCCATATCAGGTCAAGAAATACTAGTTAAATAATGAACAAAAGGCCATTTCATGCTTGAATGCATGAAAATGACTTTATCCCAAGACTATATCCCAAAATCCTGATGAATTTATGTGTCCTGAAAAAGGTGAGCACCATGGATACATGATCATTCAGATGTAAAATGGGTGATAAAATGAGTGAAAATGAGTGATTATGACCTCACGTGTTTTGTCAAGAGGAAAAACAATGGTTTAGTGTGCCACATGATTAATTTGGACAGAGCTTCATTAATCCAGTGTCTCCTGTCTGTGCTGTAAAGTGAGCAGAACGTTTTCAAAGCCCATTCAGAGGCAATGCCCTATGGCTCAGAGTCATGAGGCTTTAATGGGCCAACAGGTGGGCTGCGCACTGCGGCCATAAGGTCCAGAGGCCTCAGGGGGGGTAAATGATCCAAAGCAATGGCTGTTTTCTGCCCTCATTAATCTCATAATTCTGAAATTGAGAGGGATGGGGGGATGCTTCAGCCTTGATCTCAACCTTTCAACCTTGTCAAATCATTCGTTATCATTAGTCCTCATTAGACGAACTGGTCCGTCTAAGTACAGAAACCCTCCCTTCCCCTTCAACAAGAGAGGCTTTTTGCGAATATCTCCATTTTCTATAACCAGCCTGAAAAACTCCCAGCTTGATGGTGTCGCTAGATAATAAAAAAATACTACATTGTCTAATGAGACTTGTGTATAGGAAAAGAAATAGGAAAGGATATATGGTGAGTACAAAATTAAAGTATAGGGGAAATGTGGTTTAGCATTTTTTGCCAAGCTATCATTGAAGTGCGCCATGGTCATTTTCTATTTTCAGCTTTTGGTTCACGGGATAAAGAAAATATAGAGAAAATCTATATATCTGTTCTCGCACAGTTTCTGTCACCGCGTGGAATGACTTGGTTTTCTTTCTCTGTAATGCTGCTCTGCCAAGCAGCTGGGGACTAATTGGATCCCAATTTTCCAAATGAGGCTTCCTCTCAGGTCATAGCCTCTTCACCTAATGACCCTTTGCTGCTACTGATATGTGGGCTGCACAGACAGTGACCTGCAGGCTGTTGCCCTCACCGAGGCATGCAATTACACTGCAAAGCAACCAGACTTCCCCCGTGCGCCTGTTAGTCCTGATGGAAACTAAATGTTGCAGTCATGCAGCCTTACCTTCAGCCATTGTTAGGTATCATATTACCTAGATCAGTCAGCCTGGGTGTTATGGGTGGGTTGAGACAAGCCTTTAGTCTTTCACTAAAGTGTGACATATTCATCAAGAAGGTGCATGTGAGGCAGTGGGCAAACAAATGGAGTTCCACTCCTTTAGCTGTAAGACAACACATGTTTTTAAGCCAGGAAAATTCACATGATACTCAAAACAAATGAAAATCAGTATCTGTCATAATGATCACTGATATTAGGATTTGATCCAGACAACAATCTGTCTAGTGAATGAAACTGTCATCTCTCAAGGGCAGAGTGTAGAAAGACAAATTTCCACACGCGTAGTGGTGACAGCCTTTCAGGTAAGCCCTGCTGTACAGTCACGCTCTATGATGTGTCTCTACAGGATTATCAAAGGCCATAATGCGTCTTAGCTTGCTCAGTGCTGGGCGTAATGAGACACTGCAACATCTGAGGAGTAGAAGCAGGTCATAACTGCAAGGGGCTGTTTTGACATGTACAAATAAAGACCTCTCAGACATGCTAAATGCAGGTCTTCAGGCAAAAAGGCCTCAAGCTAAGAGACGCTGGCTGGGCCCTCAACACTGGTGTTTTATCGAACACAATACCTGTGCGTAAACACATGAGCAAGCAGGTTTCTCTGAGCTAGCATTCATGAACTCTGCTGATTCAGGTTCTTACTGCGATTTTGGCACTGTCTCTCTTTCCAAAAAAAAACTTGTGCCTGAAATTGAACGTTGATCCTTAATTCACTACAGCCTGCCCAATAATTAATCTTTCTCTTTGTGCTGACACTGAGATGGACTGATGACCTGTCCAAATATTCCCACATTTTATACATCACTGGAGAGGCCAGTATAAAGCCAGTATTTCACAGCTGATGGGGGCATGGAATTGTAAAAGTAAGAAAGAATTAAATTTATGATATATGAGATATTTGTAGTATCCAATAACCTCCTGAGATATTATTGTAAACTTCAGCGAGGACACAAAAAACATGTTGACTTTCCCTAGAGGCAATATTCGTGACAGAATGTAAAGACAGTGTGAACCTGAAGACATGTCATTCAGGAAGCTGAAGCTAAGCAGGGGGGCACATTCCACTTTTCTACAGAAACTACAGAGGGCGCTGCTGCTCACTCACCGGACACAGTAGCCAAAACCATGTCCAGATGACAAGATGATACATGCCAGCTCCTCTGAGGCCCTGGGATACGATGAAGTAGCTTATGAATGACAGATGTAAAAGTACATGTTGAAAATGTTAAATTCAAATATTGTTTCTTACATAAAGATACATTCTATTATTCTTGGGTGCTCAACTGGTCTTCAAAACAAGAGTATAAATGCACGTACACTGCTTGGTAAAGCTATTTACCTTTTTGGTGCCATGGCAGCACCTTGTTTTTCATTGGTGTCAATCCTTTTGTGTGCTTGTTCACATACAATATGTCAGTTAGTACTGTGGATTGTATTTGACTTTCAGTATGTAATCTATCTAAATCCCTCATTAAGTGAGTTGATCACTCAAAGGACAGTTATGGGTGTTTAATGTTACGTAAAAGGACTCAGTCATCTTTATTTCCCCATTATCATTAGCAAATTGTTCAGTGACAGGTATTTGCCTCTGGCAAACTGACTGACGCATTAAGACTTATCATAATACCGTGTTCCCGGCATGCTGTATTCTGTTTTGAAAGCTGGTTCATTAGCTGTTTTCTGGGGTGTGGTGAGAACCAGCTGGGACTATTGTGAACATACTGGTATTTGTAAGTACATTAACGTGCATGCAAACACATGAATGCTGGATTTACTTGAAATAAAGATTTAATATACAGTATATATCTAATAAATATTTTTTAATGAATGATCAAAAAGTTACAATTCTATTTTAACACATAGACATTTGGATGTGGGTATTTTTTTTAAACTAAAAGATAGTTTGGTTTAACGGTTTACACAAGATCTGGATGCACAAATTGGTTGTGGGGCCCACTCACTTATAAGATACTCCTTATTAGAATGTCAAACTTTAATTGTTACAAACTTTTAAATTTCTAAATGAAATTTTCTGTCAACTCTCTCTTTTAGAGGGTTTTCACTATATTAATACGAGTATGAGACAGACTGAAGCCATTAACACTCGGTGCAGGTGTAAGTGGAAATAAAATCCCTCACACAGAACTGTATTCCAGCAAATAGCTCACACATGCACATCCACACACAAAGGATATTTGATATGGAGCTAACATTTGGAAACCAGGACCTTGAGGCAGCTTTGGCATTTCATGGATCTGAAAGACAGATTGACCTCAGATGGTTCAGGATTTATGATGTGAGGCACCAGCCAAGTTCTCCCTTTGCTGGCAGCAACCGGTGATGGAGATATTTACAGTCAAGATGTTACATGCATGGTGCTGATTGCTCATAAAACCTTGGGAAGGGACAATTATTATGGAACACACAGATTCTGTATTATTTTAGGGAATTTAAAAACTGAGTGTAGTAAATTGCTTAAACTTATTGCATTTGTCATGTAGTCTGAAGCTTAAAGAACTCAGTATGATCAAATTATTTGATCGTCATTAGTGATTTGTGACTCAAATGTTCACAAAGACTTGTATGGGGTCATTTTGTATTTGTAAGAAGGATGAT